TCCGGGAGTTGTGTCAACTTGTCGTAATTTTGAATTCGAAGTTTCTGAAGCGTGGTTAGGCAAGCAATGCTTTGAAAGAGCTCCTCTTTCAAAATCATCACCCGCGCCGGACATATCCCCACGATATCCAGTTTGTCAAGGACAGAGAGATTTCCCACTGAAATGTTTTGAGATCTCGAATGGAATTTGAAGATTCTATCATCAAACTTGTCAGTTCATATTTTTATACTCTGTAGATTAGAGAACCTACTACTGATTGACAGAGAAGCCGATCCATCTTCAATCAGAGCAATACTCAACTCTTTTAATGAAGTAAAAAGAGTAGTTGAAGATGTTGATGATGAAGAAGCTGCTTCCTCATCATCAATTGACGTGGGATTGGATTCAGACATCTTCCAAGTGATTCTTTGAGCCTCTATTGACATCAACTTGGGGCAGAAAATGTGATGTCAGTTGCAAAAGACAAGGAAACAACAACTGCCCTGATAGATGATGGTGGTGAAGCTGGTTCCTCATCATCAATTGACCTTTAAATTGGATTCAACACTTTCCAATTGATATGAAAAGCTTCTAATGACTCCAGCTTTGGTGCTAGAGGCATTGACATCAACTTGGGGCAGTTTCTTACTTTCAATTCCAAAAGACAAGGAAACAACAACTTCCTTGGCTCACCACCATCATCCTCTGATGGTCTTGTCCACCCCTTCAGAGACCCCAAATCCTCTAATCGCAAGAGCCAGCAATTGAGGAAAGAGAGTTTTTTGAGATGAGGCAGCTGACTTAAGTGAGGGAGAGCTGTGCACTTACTGCAGAATAGAATATCAATGGAAACAAGCTTAGAAAGCCAATCAAACCATCTTAAACTCCTTCGTAACCTAATACTTCCTCATTCTAGTAATATTGCAATAACTGGACTTTTACACTATCTATCACGTTTATTTGACCACATATTATGATTTATACGTAAAATAAAATATAAGTAATGTGGGGTCTTTTCGTCACGTAAAATACTTTCACAACATTAACTTTTTATAAATTTTACTCTTATATAATTATAGATATTAAGCACATAAAATGTGCTTTGCAATGCATAATTTCGTCCTTGTTGCAATATTTGTGGAACACTTCAATAGCTTTAAGATTTAGAGGCAACTGCAAGAACATTAACATTTTATCCATTTCCCCTAAATCAGGAGTTACTTCCATGGGTTCAAATTTTAACTCAAGACTTGTTAATTGTTGATTTTCCTTCATATTTGCCCTTTGTGCTTCCACAACAGCATCACTTCGCCACTTGCTAAATATAATATCCAGATATCTAGTAAAATTTATGGGTGGCAATATATTATACCATAGTTTTTCCCAACTATAAATAAATCTATTCTTTCAGAGATGTCATTTTTCCTAATCCTGTCGACAAATCACTCAAAACCGCTCCCAGTAATTCCCAAGTGCCTCAAGCTCTCCAATTTACAATAATCTCCTGGCAACTCTCTAAGATTCTCGCACAACACAAGGTTAAGTGTTTGCAGGTTCTGTAATCTTGTCATGTCATTAGGAAGACATTTAATTTTTCCATATTTTGCAAGATTAAGGTATCTTAGATGTTTCAACTTCCCGGCCTATAGAATTTGGAACAATGGAAAATTCTATGTACTCTAAGTCTAAGACACGCAAAGAGTGAAATTTCAAAATCAGTACCATTTCAAGAGATGAAAGATTAGCACTGACAAAATCTGTAGATACTACCAGTGACCGCAACTTTGTAGCAGCAAGCAATGGCGGGTATTCCCATAATCCACCATCTTCTGTCTTTGTCATTTTAATACTCACAAGCACAAGTCCATCAGCAGAAGATATTTGGTCTACAGGCTCAACCAATTGTTTCATCTCTTCATCAGCAATATATTGAGCCAAGTCATGCACTAAATCGTGCATTTTGCAGTATTCGTCACCCTCATCTTCTCAGTGATCTTGAAATAAATTCCTCCCAATCAATTCCGTAAAGTATTCTTCTCCGGTGTCTATGCTTGATGGATCAATATATCCTTGCGCCATCCACAATTTAACCAAATGATTCAATACTATATTCATGGTCCTTTGGGAACAATTAACAAATAAGCAAAGCATTGCTTTAATTCTGGTGGCAAGTAATCATAGCTTAACTTCAACACTTCCATGATGTTATCACCTCCCTTCCCCTTTGCCTTTGAGAGTTGAGCCTCTCTGATTCGTTGCCAGTGTTTCTCACTTCTTTCAGAGTAGAGAAGACTTCCAACAACCCTAATAGCAAGAGGAACATTTCCACAACTAATTACGATCTCCTTCCCAATCTGAACCAAATTAGGATTACTCTCCTCTTTCTCTGATACAAATGCAATTTTTTAAAAAGATTCCAGACTCCACTTCTGTAAGAAGTCCTAGATTGTGGGGTTATGTTGTCCCGACAGCTTTTGCAACGTTAGCAGAGCGTGTTGTTACAATAACTCCACTCTCACTTGAACCACAATCGAGCAACCTTAGAAGATCTAACCAATGATCCCGACTCTCATCCCATATGTCATCTAAGACAAGCAGATACTTCTTATCTGTAACTGATTCTCAGATGCTTGACTTAATATGATCTACTGGGGTTTGACTAGTATACTTACTGTTTCAGTCAGAAAACAATGGGCCTTCAACTGGCCCTTCGGATGAGTGGGGATGAAGCCCAATTCGAGTGATAACCGAATTGGGATTTCCTGCACAGCAATGCAAATGTAAACTAGCCTCGGGGGGTGTGCCGAGGAAGGCCCCTCCGATGCCGAAGTCAGTACAGATGCACAAGTATTAGAGAAAAGCTATGCAAGAGTATTTGTTGCTTGAGGCATTTAATGTGAATGAATGTAATTGTGTTAAAATGAAAGCTTTTATACTTTGTTCCATAAGCTAAATTGGGCTTGATCAATCAAATGGGCTGCCACATGATTGGGCCTTGTTACTATTGACTTGGCAAATACATTGGAGGGTTGGACCTTATTGCTTGGCTTTAACTATTTTCATTTGTGGACTGGGCCAGATTGTTAGCATTTTGGACCCCAAACAACTTGCCCCCCAGACCCGATTCATGAGGATAACGGGTCGGGTTTCAGCAGCTGAAGGATTTGGAGGGAAAATAAATGAAAATAGTTTAAATATTTTGACAATTCTATACGGTTAATGTAACCGTTAATAATGATTAATTAACCTTAATGACGGTTAATTAAGGATAGTGGGGAAGTGGAGTGGATTTAGTGGGAAATTAAATCCAGGCAGTTTTGTAATTGGTTTGAGGAGAATTTGAAGAGTTTGCAACTGACATTAAGTGAGTGGGTTTTTTGCGCCGAGTATATAATTCGCATTTAGCAATAATTATTTCCGGCATTCCCAAATCAGACACACTTTGCATTTCACTCTCATTTTTCCAGCGAACTCGCGCAAGCTCTTCCTCTCTTTTATCAATTTTCCGACTTTTCAGAAGCTTTTCAGCAGAATTCGTTGCTCCCGAACTGCTAAATCGGCGAATTCCGAGTCAGATAAAGGTAATTTTCTCCGAATTTCATTCGGATTTTCCCTTCTTTTAAGCTTTTTCCCCTTTTTCCTACTTTTTTTCGCGTTGCCGTCGACCTAGCAATGGTCGGCAACCCTGGTAAAAGACCAATGGAGCCTGAAGACGAGGACATTGAGGAGGAGGTGCCGCAACTAATTCGGAAGAGGAATCATCCTCTGCCCGTTATGCCGTTTTTGAGCGGCCGAAACCCTAACGCCCGAATCGAGGTTGGTTCATCCTCGAGTGGGGAGGGATTAAGGGTTATTCCGCTAAACAGTGCCCCTCCTAGAGATCCAGCTGAAGCAAGTACTTCTGACCGAAAGGGTCCTACTAGATCTCGGCCCCTAACCCCTGAAGAGAGGGAATGGACCGATGAATATGAGAACGATGGTCTGCTGAAGACCGAGCCAGCCGAATGGTGGCTAGCAAATGATGCTCGGTACCATTTTGCCGAGCAGCTGGAGGTTTATTATGGCATAATGGAAGCCGATGGGTATTGGTGCCGAATGCCCACGGTACTGGAGAGAATCTATCGGCCCCTCCTGGTTACATTAGGGTTTATGTTCGGCAGCTGCAGTTCGGGTTGCGATTCCAGTGCACCCCTTCGTCACCGAAGTTCTGAATGGGTACAATATTTCATTGGCCCAATTGACCCCTGTCAGCATCAGGAGGATCATGACCTACCTTTGGGTGTGCATCTTCTACGGGCTGCAGCCAAGCGTTCATTGCTTTAGATGCATTCATAAGCTATCGCCGAACACCCAGTCCAGCAGAGTACATGGTCGTGGTTGGTGGCACATAGAAGATAAGAGGGGCTACCTGACCTGCTATCCGAACGATACTCGGATAAACACTGGCGGGAGCAGTGGATCTGGGTCCGAGCTCCTTCAGATGAGGGCCACCCTAATTATTTCGGGGGGCCTCGCTATGTCAGGAAGCCAGACCCATCCATGTCGAGCATCGGCGACGACGATTTCACTGAGGCTGATCGTATGCAGATGGAGCTATTCGGCAGATCCACTAACCCTGGTGCAACAGGCCGAATGACAATTGTGCCTACCGTCTGGTTGCCCTGCTACCATTACATCTTCCAAGAGAAGATGTTAGCCGTTGCAGGCCTCAGCCGAAGATACCAAGGTGGTAAGTGATTCGGCTGGGGCCGAGGCATTAATTTCCTGCTTTTTATGTTTTCTCGATCCGAAGCTTTTTGCTTGAACCTAACGCTTTGCTCTGATATTTTTTCACCCTATATGCGAAGAGACTTCTGGCATCACTACGATTTGCTGGGGATCAGCCAGACCAGAGAGCCAATCACCAACACTCCTCCCATCACAGCTGTGAAGGATCGGCCACTGACGTTGCAGCCGAGGAAGCTCAAGGTGGTTAGCGCCTTTGAGTATCCGGCGCAGAAGCCTTGGTACAAGAAGATCGACCCTTTCTTCTTACTCTCAGCTGAAGAGGAAGCTGCTGCTGCTGCTGCTGCTGAAAGAGGTGACATACAGACACCGCCTCCTCCATCCAAGCCTATCAGAGAGGAAGATTCGGAGTCCGAAGATACCAAGGAGTTGTTTGGTCCCTCGGTTAGTCCTTTACTTATTGACTTGCTCAGTTTTATATATTCGGCATCTTGATTGTTTGACTTGCAAAGCATTAATCTGAATATGTCGATGCGTAGCTTCAGCTTCTGAGCATGCATGTTACACGTAGCTTTCTTTGAATTTGCACATAGATTCTGCTAAGTGTAGTTCTTCGGATGCATCTCTGTCTGATAGTTTTATTTTGCTAAAACTGCTCATTATGTGGCTTCGGCCAAAACATCTGTGTGCTTCTACTTGCTTTGCCTCTTTTTTTTTATCTTCTACTCATACTCTTGCCCCCTCTTTCTTTGCTTCTGCAGTCCGAGGAGGAAGAAGAGGTAGAGAAAGAAGAGCCTGCCCCCTCTGAACCTGTTGCGAGGATATGGCTGGCGGAAGGAGAAGGCCCCTGGTTCGGCCTGGCCAATTCAGAGCACCAGAGCTTCCTGTGAAAAGGCCTCAGCTAGCAGAGGTCCAGGAAGAGGTGGTTGAGGTTACTTCCCCCTCTCGGGAAGTTATCATGGAGGTGGTCGATGTGCCTGACCCCTCGTCTCCTCGTCACATGCCTGAACCGTTTTCTACAGAGGTTCAGCACGAGGTTGAAGTGTTGTGGATCCAGGATGAGGATCCGAAGCTTGCGGAGGGAGAGGGCGAGCCGCGGCTGAACGACGCTGCAATGTCCGCACATACGAACATCCCTTCCAGTTCAGCTGCGACCTCCTTCCGCACTTTTCAGTCAGCTGAGATGGGGTTCGGCTCAGCGCCTTTGGTCCCTGTTCCTAGCCATGCCCGCGCAATCATTGAGGATAGGCGTGATTATGCCCTTTCCTATTTCGGCAATCTGGGCAATCTTTCGGTCGTTGAAAGGGCCAAGGCCTGGATGCAGGGCGCTGCTGCGAGAGCTGCTGAGTCTTTGGAAAGCGTGCCCCATCCTCTTCTGGAGAACCAAAGGGTTCTGATGCAGGTACCCTACTTACACTTGCATTTTTTCTTCTTCTTCTTTTTTCTTTTTTTTTTTTTTTTGCAAGTGTTGGGCTTTGGCTGACTGCATAGTCTGCTACTGTTGGGTTTTATAGGCTGTTCACAATCATTTCCTTGCTGTGGAAATGTTTGACGAGCTTCAAAGCAAAGCAGCCAAGGTTGAAGAAGCTGAGACTCTGGTTCGGCTAGCTGAGCTGAAGCAGGCAAAGGCTGAGGACGATGTCTCAGCTGCTAAGCAAGAGATGCAGAAGATGGAAGAGAACTTCCGCACCTTCAGCCGAGGCCTGGAGCAGATAGTCTTTCCTTGGCTCGAGGAGGGCCAGTCCTCATGAAAGAGTTCGGAGCTAACACCCTCGCTGAGTTCCGGGCTCGGCTTGAGGCCAAAACCAAGGAAGACGCTAATGCTCAACAACTTCTCATCTCTGCCCATGAGCAGCAGCTGGCCCAGGTTCGGGAAGAGGCTAAGAAAGAAAGAGATGATCTGCTAGCCGCGAACCAGAAGCTGAAGGATGACTTGGAAGCTCAAAAGACCGAGCTGCTGGATGCCAAGGAGCTACTCAAAACCAGGATCTACACCGAAGCTGAATATGGTGAAGGTTTTGAGAACGGTTGGAAGACTGCTCGGCGCTTGGCTCTGCACGCTGCTCCTGACATGAACTGGGACCAGGTCGAGGCTTGGTCAATGGATGCTGACAACCCTCGGATCCACGAGGCTAGCCAAGCTGAGATTGACTTCCTAGTCCGCCAGGCTGAAGCTGAAGCTAGGGAGGCTGAGGAGGCTGCCAAAGAGGCTGAAGCTACTGGTCCTGCCTCCTCTTCAGTAGGGGTGAAAGTTCGGTATTCGGTTTGGATTATACCCCAAACCGAATCCAAACCGAATTATTTCGGTTTCTGATTCTTGGAACCGAATCCAAACCGAATTTGGATTCAATCCAATCCAATCCAAACCGAAATAATTCGGTTTTTGAAAAATGGATCCAATCCAAACCGAATTTTTTTGGGCTGTTGATTTGGGCCTTAAAATTGGGCTTTTAATCGGAAGTTTGTTTTTGGCCCTTTTGTAGGCCTAAATTGGTGAATTACAATGGTTGGTCTTTAAGCCAAAAATTTGCCAAATTAAGGGAAAATCATAATAAAAAAATTTGTCCAGCCACTAGAATAAAATTACAAACACGATAAAAGTCTTAAAATGGAATAACAGTCTACAATGAGTCTACATGCAGCTAAAACCATAATAACATCAACTAAAATCAATATGGTAGATTGACAGCAGCTAGAATCAACATGGCAGGCAGCAACTTCTTCATTTCTTCAACATGGGTAATTCCCCGGTTTCGGTTTTGGTCATGGCTAACAATGAGCTAGGAGGGTGCATTCCCTCTAGCATTGGTGACATGGGGTACACCTTAAATGAGATTATAATGTCCAACGATAATCTCTCAGGATGTTTACCCGAAGAAATCGGTAACCTCAAACACGTAACGGTATTCGATGTGAGCTACAACAATTTATCTGGGTCACTGCCACTAACCATTAATGGAATGGCTAGTGTGGAACAATTAGATGTGGGTTACAATCAATTTACTGGTGTTATCCCAGAAGCTATTTGCTTGCTTCCAAACCTCCAAAACTTCACATACTCCCACAATTACTTCACTGGCGATGCACCCTCGTGTTCCGTCTCGGCCGGGGCCGGTAAGGTTATCGATGGATCTCAAAATTGTATCATTGGTGAGGCGAATCAAAGGTCCGCTGAGGAGTGTGCCTCACCATTGGCTACACCCGTTGATTGTTACTCATTTGGTTGTATTAAGAAGCCTGTGTATACGCCTTCGCCATCATATACTCCTACCTATTCACCACCACCTTACACTCCAACTTACTCACCATCGCCGTCTTACACTCCAACTTACTCACCATCGCCGTCATACACACCACCTCCAACTTCTTTCGGTGGAGCATCGTCAGGGTCATACTCACCGTCTCCGTCGTACACACCATCACCAGGGTACAACACACCGTCAACTCCAAGCTATAATACTCCTTCCCCATCATACCAACCACCAACACCACCAACCTACACTCCTTCACCAGATTACTACTACTCCTCACCTCCACCACCGTCAACACCGTCTTACAACACTCCCAATTATCCACCTTCATCATTACCCCCACCACCACCACCCGCCTCAGGGTACACTCCTTCCCCTGCATACTCAACACCCCCTCCAGTAGGATACAATAGTCCATCGTATTCACCATCGCCATCAAACACACCACCATTAACCCCTACATATTCACCATCGCCGTCTTACAGTCCCCCATCCACGACCCCTTCATATATCTAACAATAAAAAAAATAAACATGTTACATAATATATATAAATAAATCAAAGGAAATCAATATAATCAAACAAACAAAACATCAATGTCGCCAATTTAAACATTATAGCATATCAATGTCATCATATTAGCCAATTTCGAACAGATCGAACAACAAATTAACGAATTCAAACAGAACAGAACTATTGAATGAAAACTTGAAAAGAGAAGTGGGAAATGAGTACACATCTAAGAAGAAGAAAAGCAGGAAAAGATAAGTGAAATTAACAGAACGAAAGTGAAATTAATAAGAAGAAGAGAAGCAAAAAAGGAGAATTCTTACCCTTGAGTGACTGAGTGAGAGGAGATAGTGAGGGAACGCGAACACGAGCGGCGCCGCGGCGGTGAACTGGTGGTAATTTTAGGGAGCACAAAACCACGAACACAAGCGGCGGTGAGAAACGAGATCTGCGGGAGCACGAAGCCACGAACACAAGCGAACTGATGGTGATAGACGTTGACCGGATATGTGGTGAGCGGACTGAGGAAGGTGGTGGTCGGAGCTACTGAGGTGGTGAGGGAGAAAATGGGGAAATTTTGGAGGATTAGGGTTTGGTGAGGAATGTGCCGCAGAAGAGGGGAAAAAAAGACTGGGATAAGAGAGGAGTATTTTAGGGCTTTAGTATATATATGTAGGGTAGGAGAAAATGGGCTGGGATATTTGGGCTTCATAAATTTCGGTTTGGATTTTCGGTTTTCGGTTTTTGGAAGCCCAAAACCGAATCCAAACCGAAATATTTCGGTTTTGATTTTTTGAAACCGATCCAAACCGAAAACCGAAAAAAACCGATCCGAATTGCTATTTCGGTTCGGTTTGGATCGGTTTTCGGTTTTTATCCAAATTACTTTCACCCCTACTCTTCAGATGGGGCTGGTCCATCTGGAGTTCCAGGGAATGCTGAACCATAGGAACTCGGGCAGCCGTCTTCTGAGTCCTGCGGATCAACATGTGCTTAATTTGTAAACGCCGCATCAGCTTTTGCCTGTTTTTTTGTTTCAGCTTGCCTTTGTACAAACTTTTTATCTGTTTTTGTGTACTTTCGGCAGCTGTGTTTTCCGCTATGTAGGCGGCTGCCGACTTTGAATTTCTGTAATTTTCAAATTTCTGAATTTGGTTTCTGTAACTCATACTCAATATTTGTGATTTTTCAGTTTCTGGTGAATGAAATAGAATTTTTAGCTGTTTTCTCTTCTTCCGCCTGCTTTTCTATCTTTGCCTTTGGCTGTCCTCTTTCTGAACTTTTTTCTAAATTTGGCTAAGTACAAAGCTTCGGCTAAGAGTTTTTCAGCTAAAAACACTTGATTTTTCATGAGATTTTCTCAAGTGCCAAGGGCTTCAGACAAGAGCTTTCATAGAGCCTCAGATAGGAACCCCACGCGTAGGCGCCCTCTGCTCCCCCCAGAACCTTGAAGATGATGTTTGCTGGGTTCTGAGTGCTACTGAAGCTTTGTTACCGCTTGCACATATACGTTTATTCCTTGCGCTCCGTTAATTCTAACTCATCCGAGGGAACGACGACTTAAAACATAATGGTAGGGCAGTGATCATCTGAAGCACAAGGCGTAATTTACGCAATACTTCAGAGGTGCAATCACCACCCGAAATTGACTGGCCGACGCACAAGGCATTATTATGCAATGCTTCGGGCCTTCTGCCAATTCCTATTTTCGGCTATGTCCTAGATGAGTCTATGGCCTCTTTGCCGAGGGCAGTAAATCCATCCGAGGTACAGTGCATCATAATGCAATACCTCGAGGTTCTATTTACCACTCGTACTGGCAGGTTCTCCGGCTTGCTGAAGCACAGTACATCACGATGCAATGCTTCAGACAGCACCGGGCGTAAACCTTGAAATAATTGTGGCAGGGACAGGAATAATGGAAACAGAATAAAATTGTGAATAATCGTGGCTCAAAGGCCTTTCATTAATCTGAAGGAAATATACTTACACAGATTTTTTCAAACATGAAATTTTCTAAGTACATCTGCGTTCCAGTGGTTTTTCAACTCAGTTCCATCTAACTGTCGAAGGCGATAAGTTCCTGGTTGGAGTTCATCGTATATTTCATAAGGCCCTTCCCAGTTAGCTGAGAGCTTCCCATGAATGCGGCTTTTCTGAACAGCGGCGGCATTCCGAAGGACCAAGTCCCCCACTTTAAGGGGTCTTGATTGGACCCTTCGATTGTAAAATTTACTAATTCTTTGCTTGTATGCCGCCATTCTATCCCTCGCTGAGTCTCGGATCTCATCTAAGAAATCGAGGACTCTTTCATGAGGTGCTCATTTTCTTCAGCCGAGAACTGGTTGACTCGGAGGCTTTCTGAGCCAATTTCCACCGGCAAAACGGCTTCAGACCCATACACCAATTCAAAAGGTGAATGCCCCGTGGCCTCTTTTTCAATTGTCCGAAGTGACCATAGAGTTCCAGGAAGTTCCTCTATCCACTTGGACTTTTGATCTTCAACTCTCTTTTTGAGAGCGTTGAGTATCTGTTTATTTGCAGCTTCGGCCTGGCCATTACTCTGAGGATGACAGACTGCTGAGTACGCCAGTTTTATGCCGAACTGATTTGTGTACCGCCTCAGCGGCAGATTGTCAAATTGTCTTCCGTGATCGAAGACGAGCACTTTTGGGATGCCGAAGCGCGTGATGATATTCTGCCAGATGAACTTCCTGACAGTTTGCTCAGTTATATTTGAAGCTGCTTCAGCCTCTATCCATTTGCTGAAGTAGTCTATTCCAACTATCAGCCATTTTTCTGGTAGGGAGCCTCGGGGAATGGTCCTAAAATATCCAACCCCCATTGAGCGAAGGGTAGTGAATTCAGTATCGGCTAAAGGTTTCTTGAAGGCCTGTGAATGACGAGTGCAAATTTTTGACATCTTTCACATTTCCGCACCAATTCCTTAGCGTCTTGAATCATAGTTGGCCAATAGTACCCTGCCCGTAGTGCCTTGTGGGCTAGGGCTCTTCCCCCAATGTGGTTTCCACAGATGCTAAAGTGGATCTCCCGAAGGACGTAATCCGCATCCGTTGGACCCACGCATTTCAGTAGCGGGGCTGAGAAGGATTTTTTTCAGTAGCTCCCCTTGTAGACGATGAACCTTGAGGCTACCCTTTTTATTTTTGCTGCTAAGTTCTTATCCTCGGGCAACGTCCTTTGCAGCTTATAAGCCAAGATGGGGTCCATCCAGCTAGGCTCCACCTCAGCACACTGAACCTCAATTTCTGGGTCGATGCTTTTGGTTCGGCGCACCTCCACATATACGGACCGATTCAGCTCTGTAAGAGTTGAACTTGCGAGTTTAGAGAGTGCATCGGCTTGAGCATTCTGACCCTTGGGATCAGCTCGGTCTCAAAAGTTCTCAGCTTCGCTATAACTGATTTGATCTTGGCAAGGTAGGAGATCATGGAGGGTTCTTTGGCCTCATACTCGCCCCGAATCAAGTTAGCGACTAGCTGAGAGTCTGTCTTCAGACAGACATGTTCGGCTTCGAGAGCTATGCACAATTCCAAGCCAGCAACTGCTGCTTCATATTTTGCTTCGTTGTTAGAAGCCTTAAATGAGAACTTGAGTGCATACTCGAAGTTTTTGCCCTCGGGAGAGGTGATCACCACCCCAGCTCCCGAGCCATTTACGGTGGTTGAGCCATCCGTGAATACTGTCCAAGTCCCCTTCCCTTCGTCGAGTATTTCCTGATAGGAACATTCGGCTAGGAAGTCTGCTAAGGCCTGGGCTTTTATTGCTGCCCTCGGCTGGTAGCTTTATGCTGAACTCGGTGAGTTCGAAGGCCCACTTTTTTCCACCTTGCCGAGGACTTTCTCCAGCGGTTGATCCGTTAGGACCACGATTTGATGTGAATCAAAATAAGGCCTTAACTTCCGAGCTGCTACCACCACTGCATATGCGACTTTTTCGAGCAAAGGGTAGCGTGTTTCGGCATCAGTCAAAGTATGACTGACAAAGTAGATCAGTTGCTGGACTTTTTCCTCTTCCTTCAGCAGCACCGCACTCACCGTAGCAGGGCTAACCGCCACGTATAAGTACAAGATCTCCCCTTCGGCTGGTCTTGCCAGCGTCGGAAGATTTTCCAGGTGCTCCCGGAGCTGCTGGAAGGCTTCTTTCTGCTCATCTTCCCATATGAGCTCCTTCGATTTCGGAAATTTAAGCGCCTTGAAGAAGGGCAGGCCTTTGTCCGAGGCTTTTGAGATGAACCTGGACAAGGCGGCCATTCTCCCCGTAAGGCGCTGAATATCCCTTTTTGTCTTCGGCTCGGGAAGGTCAAGAGCTGCTTGCACTTTGGTGGGATTGGCATCAATCCCCCTCTTGCTGACCATGAAACCTAGGAATTTCCCAGACCTCACGCCGAAGACACATTTCTTCGGATTCAGCTTCATCTGGTGCTTTCTCAGGGTGGCGAACGTTTCAGCTAGGTCCGCAACATGATCTTTCGATGGAATCGTCAACATAGACTTCCATGTTGCGGCCTTTTTGTTCGGCAAACACCTGGTCCACCAACCTCTGATATGTAGCCCCGGCGTTCTTCAGGCCGAAGGGCATCATTTTGTAATTATACACCCCAGCGCTTGTAACAAATGTCGTTTTTTGCTCTGTCATCGGGGTGCATGAAAATCTGATGGTACCAGAAAATGCGTCCATGAAGCTGAGCAGAGCATGGCCACTTGTCGAGTCAACCAACTGGTCAATTCTCGGCAAGGGATAGAAGTCCTTCGGACAAGCCCTATTCAGATCCGTGAAGTCAACGCACATTCTCCAGGAGCCATTAGCTTTCTGAACCATTACTACATTCGCCAGCCATTCAGGGTATTGGCAGGGCTCAATGAACCCTGCGTCTAGAAGCTTCTTGACTTCGGCTGCGATGTCCTGGTTCTTCTGAGCGGAGTAGTTCCGCTTCTTTTGCTTAATTGGCCGACATGTGGGGTCGACATTAAGCTTGTGCGAAATGAGGTTCGGGTCAATTTCCAGCATGTCGGCTGCTGAGAATGCGAACACATCTTTGTTGTCCCGAAGGAGCTGGACCAGTTCAACACGGAGGTTCGGATCCAACCCTCGTCCGATGTTGACATATTTTTCATTATCCCCCTCGGTCAATTGGATTAATTCAGTTTGTTCGTCTGACTCCATTGCCTTGGAGCCAGATTCTTCAGGGCAGGTCTGCTGTCAATCTCAGCAGACCTTCCTTCCTTCGGCTGGCTTTCGTCCGAATCTTTCGGTCCGTCCGAAGAGCTCGCCTTTTCGGCCCCTAAAGATGATTTCTTTTTTGGGGACCCCTGAGCTGAAGCACTTAGGCCCTTCGGCCTTTTGGTACCCCGCACTTTTTCTCTTTCTTTTTCTTCCTCGTCATCCTTGTCGCTTCGGCGACTCTTGGATGGCTTGAGGGAGTTGCATTCCCGGGCCTCTCTTTGGCTGCCCAGCATTTTCTCGGAGCGTCCTTCGTCTGAGACATAAATCATTGACTGATGATATGTCGAGACCACCCCTTGAACATCATGAATGAGAGGTCTCCCCATGATGACGTTGTAAACTGACGAGGCGTCGATGACCAAGAACTCGGCCATGATGCTTCGTCTTGCCTGGTCTTTGCCGTGGCTGACGGGAAGAAGAATTTTCCCATCCGGATATGAAGAAGAGTTGTTGAATCCAGTGACCGGATAAGGGACCGGAGTCAAATGCCTGCTCTCCAACTTCAGCTGGTCGAATGCCTTTCGGAAAAGTATATTCGCCCCGCTGCCACCGTCTACCAGTGTCCGATAGACGTTGTGGTTTGCAATGCTTGTCATGATAACCAGTGGATCATCATGGGGGTACACCACCCCCCTGCAGTCTTCGGATGTGAACGTCATGTTCGGCACCGGAGACTACGGCTTCTGGAACTCGGTATGATGGATCTGATGTGTGAGACCCCTCAGATGACGCTTAAGCGCGTTCCGAGATATGCCACCGGAAATGCTCAGGATGTCATTGTGTCCCCTTCGGGAGGCCTGTCCCTTTTTTCGGTGATAGTCCAGCTCTTGCCGAGAATCTTTCTCGGTCTTCTTATCTTCGCGGCGTTCCGCGACATATTTCTTGAGATATCCTTTTTGGACCAGCTCTTCAATCTGGTCCTTCAGCTGAAGGCAATCCTCGGTGCGATGTCCACGGGATTCATGGAACTCACACCAAAGGTCCTTCCCTTTCTTTTGATGCCAAGAAGGAGGTGGCTTCGGCTTTTTAAATCTTCCCTCCTCCCTCGTCGCACTGAAGATTTTAGTACGTGGCAAGGTGAGAGGGGTTGTAAGATTCAAATTTCCCTAGGAAGGGAGCTTTATCCTTCTTCGGCTCCGCGGTTAAGGGAGGTTCTGAGGCTTTTGCCTTCCCTTTCCTTGACACTGGAACTTCAGCCTGCTGCCCTTTTGGCTTCACAAGCTCTGATTGGGATTGCAGCTTTGCCTTGTTCCATTCCTCGGCTCGGATAAATTTATCCGAGGCGTCGAGGGCTTCTTCCAGAGTCTGCGGGGGATGCATGACCATGAAGTCCAGAAAATTTGCCAGCTTGCAAGCCATTCCGTAATGCAAATACGGCCAGACTTTGGTCCAGACTTGTTATTCTGGACGACTCGTTGCTGAAGCGAGTCAAATAGTCTCGGAGACTTTCATCCTCCGCTTTGCTGCAGACCCATCAGCTCTGCAGTAGTTTTCTCTCGGCGATTAGCCGTAGAAAACTTGCTTTTGAATTTATTGGCTAGATCGCTCCAGCCAGTTATTGAGCCTTCCTTCAGCCCTTTGGTGATCCATGATTGGGCCACACCTTTAAGGGTTGTTGGGAAGTACTTGCACCAGGTAGCTTCGGACCTGGGGTTAAGGTACATATGCCCCTCATAGGAGGCGATGTGGTCCTTCGGATCCGAAGTACCGTCATATGTAATGTGTGCCGGAATTTTAACCGTCGGCACATGTTCTTCCAGTATCCACCTTTGGAATGGGGAACTGGTTGGAACCATTACGGCCTTTCCCTTCTGCTTCGCCGAAGGAACCCCGCTTCTCCCTCTCAGAGAGGTGGATGCGGGGGGTGTCCTCTCGCGCGACTGGGAAGGATGAGACCCTTCTGGGAAGGTGAGGCAACTATGCACCCCTCCTTTTCCACCTAGACGTTCAAGGACGCTTCGGCGGGAAACATTGTGGATGTCATGATGACCTTCGGAGGTTTGAGCTTTGGAACTTTTGGAGTGGCCGGAGCCTCTCCTCTGATCCTGCCCAGAACCACCTGGGATGCCCAGCCTTTTGGCTACCTTCCCCTTTTGAGGATGGAGCACGCTTTTCCCCCTCGGTTATACTCTTCCTCTTTCGATCATTTGATCTAGGAGGGGGAGATGGTGGCTTTTTTACTGATGGGAAGCGTTCCCCTAAGGTATGCATGAATTCCATGCACACAGCCATGGCTTTCATGACCTCCTCGGTCGATGGTCCGGTAGGAGGAGTTGAGCGCATGCTTGGTGAGGATCACGTTTATGAACCTCATTGTCCCTTGGCGAGTCCCCATTCAGGTGATCCCGCCGGGAAGGAGACCCTTCATGTGAATTTTCTCCCCTTGGGGAGCTGGAAGCAGTCGGTTCAGGCGACGGTAAAGGTGTCCTACCGGCCCTTACCGTTATAAAACCGGTCTTCCTAGCTTTCTTAGAGCTCTTTGCACTCTTAGTCATTTTGAGTATTGGCTAAGATTCAAATGAAATTTTTGGCTGACTTTTTGTAAGAATCCCCACAGACGGCGCCAAATTGTTTCAGTCAGAAAACAATGGGCCTTCAACTGGCCCTTCGGATGAGTGGGGACGAAGCCCAATTCGAGTGATAACCGAATTGGGATTTCCTGCACAGCAATGCAAACGTAAAACTAGCCTCGGGGGGTGTGCCGAGGAAGGCCCCTCCGATGCCGAAGTCAGTACGGATGCACAAGTATTTAGAGAAAAGTTATGCAAGAGTATTTGTTGCTTGAGACATTTAATGTGAATGAATGTAAATTGTGTTAAAATGAAAGCTTTTATACCTTTGTTCCATAAGCTAAATTGGCTTGATCAATCAAATGGGCTGCCACATGATTGGGCCTTGTTACTATTGACTTGGCAAATACATTGGAGGGTTGGACCTTATTGCTTGGGCTTTAACTATTTTCATTTGTGGACTGGGCCAGATTGTTAGCATTTTGACCCCAAAACACTTACCATTTCAAAGGACTGACAAAACTTTTCTCAATACTTGGTTCTGATTATTACTGTCAGGTACACAGGCCCATGCAGTAAGATTAAAATGTTTCCGAACCCCCTGATCATTATAAAACCAGTTGAGCAAGAGTGGTTTTACCAAGACCCCCAAACCCCACAATTGGAGTCACAGTATTCCTTTTCCCGTCATCATTATTAGGATCAAAAAGCATCCCAATAATAAACGTCTTAATCAGTTTCCCTACCAATGACATCTTCTGTTTTCACAAAAGAGGCTGTTTCTCTATTTCTAATGAAGTGAGCCCCTAAGGATTGTGGTTCATCTCTATGGTCAGGATGTGTTTTTATGTTTAAAATAGCAATATCTGAATTGTTTTTATGTCTCTGTAAGATGTAATTCTTGTAAATGATGATGAATTCTGGACTGATTTATCTTCAAAGTATTAGAAGATGAGGAATATATGCTTACCTAGTTACCTTAGTAAAGGGATGTTTTGGATTCCTAAGTTGGCATTTCATCAAACAGCTTGCGTGCATTCCATAAATGAGGATTCTTTTGCTGCCCTTCAATTTTCCTTTTGCGCATCTTCAACACACTCTATCAAGGAGTATAATGTCCTTAAATAATGAAGCACAAAACATAATCTTCTGATTTCTGTAAAGGTGTTAACAAATCATAAAAAGTTATGGATGGCTTGCAGAATATAATTAGGGGAAACAAGTAACAATTCTAACTACCAACTGGCAAAATCTAACCTATAAACTATTATGTGATGAAATATAAAATTGATTATTGATTCCAAAAAGTGCTATTATTAAAATTAGTATATGCAGGCATGCAGCCTATGTACTATGTAGAGAGTATTCTTGTTACAATATACTAGTAGTCTAATAGGGGGGTGATAATCGGTTGTTTGTAACAGTTTTGGATTCTATCGATTCAAATTGGGTCAGCCTAGGGATGCAAACAATCCCAGATCGATGAATCGAGTTTTAGTCTTTTCGACTAAGCTTGATATGGAATGTTAGGATTCAAGCTATCTCGAGCTTGAACGAGCTTTTAAAAATCTTATTCGAACTTGGCATGTTAAGGATCTGACTTGTACGAGCTTTCTTAATGAATTTACTTGTTTATATATTAAGTTTACGTTTGAGTTTAATCGAGCATAATAAACTAGCTC